TTACTCAGTGATAAAAAAGAACGAAATTTTGCCATTTGCTTCAACATGAATGGATCTAGAGCGTGTGATGCTAAGTAAAATAAGTCAGAGAAAGACAAATCCTGTATGATTTCACTCATTTACGGAATTTAAAAATTTTAAAAAAAAGAATAAAGTAAAAGAGAAACAGACCCATAGATACAGAGAACAAACTGATGGTTGCCAAGAGGTAGGAGGGTAGAAATACAGGTAAAAAGTAAATAAATAAAAAAAATAAAGGGTCAAAAAATTTTTAATAAAAAGTAAACAGCAAAGGGGCCAGTTTCTATACGGCATTATTCTAAAAAATACAGCAAACTATCTAAAATTAACTTGTATAGACCATGCTCTTGGTAAAAAATAAAACTATAATAATTTTATAACAAATGAACATATTAATTTCTAATATATGTGCACATTTTATAACACTCTGGTTAAAGTATTACTCCTCAGTAATCAAACTAATTACTTATACCTTTTAAAATATTTTTAAATGGGTCAAATACATTTTTTAAGATATAAATCTTATTAAATTACAGGTTCAAGTCAAATTGTTCTAATTGTTCTACTATTCTCTTAATACCAATATATCAATATCTCTTTCAAGCTTGAGGTCAACTATGTTTGCTAAAGCACTGGCTTTAAATTAAGAGCAACTGTAATTCAAAGTCTCATTTTAAATCATACTCTTAATCTTTCTTCTAAAATTTAAACTCAGAGGGTTCAGTATAATGAATAACCTTAATCATTATATGTTAGAACACAACCCATTCTAAACATGGCAGGTTTGTATGTAGTTGGAAGAGGGAAGCTGAATTAAAACCAAAGAAACAACCAACATGTACATTGCCCTCCTCATGAAAAACAATGGTTATGATGAAAAAAAAAAAGTACACCGTTATACTAGCAAATAAGACCATTTTCAAAGAAAGAGTTTAAGGATCTTGAAGTAGAAAGATATAGAGCATCATTTCTCAAGGGAAAAATGAGAGAGTGCCTACCTGAACACTGGAGCAGGTCTATTAACACCCACTTGCCTTGGTCTATTGACCTAATTTGACCACCCGCCTCCAAATCATAAAGCATTATTTTACTTACTGATTTCCAACATGACTGTCACAACGACATATAAGATGCGTTCCAGTCAATTTTCACTTGATCTCAATTAATTATGTACAAGGTTGGATCAGTATTACTTAAATTTAATACTTTATAGATTTGAAAATGCCAGCAAAGATACTAAGACTGTCTTTCATTTCTAGAGTGACTCTACATAATTTTTATCATTTATTCTTCAAATAAATTAAAAGAAGCATCTTTTATTTCCATTTTACATGTAAGAAAACTGATTTTGATTACATTAAGGAACATCCTTTTTGCAGAACAAAGCATAAACGCGGTAGTCAATTCCAGAATCCATAATTTCCGAGTCCTATTACATGGGTTGTTCTATACCGTTACACTACAATTTGTGATAACTTAAAGAAAAAAATTTCTCACCTTTCAGACCATTTTTCCATATAATATGTCGGGTATTCTCATAATTTGTGTTCATCCAAATAAGCAGAATCCTTTCAGAATTAGAATATATGTTGCTGGATGCAAAAGGAGGATTAACTTTTGGTGAATTTTGCTCATATACAGAGGGCAAATTCTTTCTGGAATGTGGTACAATCCGGGATAGTACCAGAACCTGAAATTGGATAAAAGAAAGAGAAATAACGTTTACTAGACATGAATGGCAAAATAAAAATTTGAAGGAAGAGTAAATGAAAAATATGACAGGTCGATAAATAAAAGCAAGCATCAGTATTTTCTAGTTAATTACATCAACTCAAGAGTAAAGGAATAGATAAGATGACCTCAACTGCTCATTTTAAATCCTCGACTTTTTGCTTCTATAGCATCTGGTCTATAAGGTACCACACTACGCAATTTATAAGAAGAAGCTAATTACCTAAGGATTCTGGTTACCAATTTACGATGTGCATGTATGTGGGGCGGGGGGTGGGGGTCCGCACGCAACCAAGCAATTCTCAAACAACAGCAGAGCCTTCAATCATTCAGCTCAATTCTGACACTATCCATCCAGAGACAGCATCGGATTCCACAGGTTGAGTTCAGTCCTACAATGCTGCACCCTCCCATCAACTGCTTCAGATGCTAATCAGAAGACTGGGCTGTTACCTATGCTTCTAACTCATCGACTATCCGCTGTAGGTTTCAATGATCCTCTCCTTGGCAACTCAATTGAGATGCCAGTTGTAAGTGCAGGTTGTTACCTATACTTCTGACCAACTAGCTATAAATCAGAGGTTTCTACGACTCCCTTGTTGGGTTCCATTAATTTGCTAGAGTGGCTAACAGAACTCAGAGAAATATTTTAATTACTAGATCACTGGTTTATTATAAAAGGATATAACTCAGGAACAAACATGGCTAAAGGGCATGAAGCTTCCATGCCCTCTCCAAAAGCTCTCCAACCCCTGTCTTTTATGGGTTTTTATGGAGGCTTCATTACATATTCACAATTGATTAAATCATTGGCATCAACTGAGTCAACCTCCAGGCCCTCGCCTATCCCAGGAGGACAGAGAGGTGGGACTGAAAGTTCCAACTCTCTAATTACACAGTTGTTTCCTTTGGTAATCAGCCCCCACCCCTAGGTGCAGTACAAAACTTACCTCATTGACTTAACAAAACATACCTTCATCACTCTCATCACTTAGAACTATCAAAGTATTTTAGGAGCTCTGTGCCAGAGATGGGAAGGAAGGCCAAATATATATATTTCTTATTATAAATCACAGTATCGCAGTATATAATTATATATATTGAGTGCTATACAATCACTATCATATGTACTTTCAGTTCCACATGAATTTTGCTATTATATTTGACTTATTGTTTTTCAATGAATGATTTTTAAAATCATGTGTTGTTTTAATTTATTTTTCCAATTGGCATAGAAAGCACAATTAAGTAGAAATCAACAAATTCAGATCAGATTTAATTTTTAGACGCTTATATTTCCATCGATCACATTGCTTAAGTGGGAAGATATAAGTAATAAACACTTCAAACATACCATAAACTTTTATTACCATAACAAAACTTCTTGCAGTAATTTAAGTCTAAATGGTATCAAGATCACAAATTTGTTGTAAAAAGAATATAACTTAATACCATAGGGTAAGAATTACAGAAAAGAAAAAAAATTAATTAAAAAAAGAAAGGAAGAGATTCAAACTTGTTCATCAACAGATCCTGTTAAAGAGGACCACATGGGAACTGATTCTGCAGTGAAGATATGAGTGTCAGTTAAGACAGGTGGAGAGAAAGCTCCAGGAAGAGACTGAGGTTACAGGGGAGTTTTCTGGTGGTAGAAGACACAGCATCAATCTGATCTCAGCTCTAAATCATGGGGATCAGTGACAGGGGTTCCAAGAAACCTGAGATGTACTTGGTTCCTAATTTAATAATAAAATCTGCAGGCCTAAAATTCCCTGTTTCCTTTGTCTTCTCACTCTCATTATCCATTGTGGCTCGTGGCTTCTTAATCATCTTTATCAAACCTCCTTCTCTCTCACCTATATACTAGTTTTTCTTAGAAGATCCTTCCTCTCAGTTTTAAAGAGCAAAAGATGACATCTTAATTAGCACACTGCAGTGTCCCACCGTGTGTCCAAAAGCTCTTGCATCTGCGCTCACTTTTCTTCCTTCTCCACAGCTGCAATGGATGAATTACCCTTTCTCTTATACTAGATACCAGGCCTTCTCATCTTCTAGGGACAGTCCTGTATCAGTGGTCTTTTGTACCTTTGGATCTTTAACTTCTCCCTCCCAATCAGTTACTTTTCAGCAATATCAGAAGATGCTTCACTTATACACTCAGCTTTCAGGGGGCTGGCTCTTCTAAACTTGAATTCCCAATAATTCTTTTATCTGTTCCCTCTACCAGTTACAACTCTTGAAAGTGTTTTCTACCCTCACTGTAGCCACTTTCTTCCATTTGATTAGCTTATCAAACCAAGGCCCACCTAATGACCTTCTTTACCTCGTCATTACCACCACGATAAAAGTGCTTTCGGCATCTTTCTTGTCCAGGGAATTTTTAATCATTATCGTAAGCCACCTCTCAATTTCATCTGATATTGTTCACCATGTCTTCCCTCAAAGACTCTTTCCTCCTCGTTCATGATATCATAAAGTGTCACTGCTATCTTTCTATTTTCAGGCTCATTTGCAGTACTCTCTTCCTTTGCCTATTTAAACATTGGGTTTGCTCAATATTGGATTTCTAACCTATGCCATTTTTTTTTCACTCTACAGCTATTATCTCCCAATTTTACCCCCTACGAATCACTAAATGTGCATTAAGAAACCACATATAGCACTAATTTTTGTAATTCAAAAATAAAGATCCAACACAGTATTTAGAACATTAAGTTAGTGATAGTAATGAGAATATAGCTTCGTATCAGTGAGATGAATAATACTCTTATAATCTCTGTCTAGGTATCTACATATACCTGGATAATGAACATATTGACCTCTTTATCACTTTATTATTCAGTAAGTTTCTTTTCTTACCATTTCCACAAAATGAGAAAATCTTAACTCATAAGTTAACAGAATGGGTGCTCAGTTTGACTGTTATAGTCACACTAACTATGAAGCCAGAAATTATAGAGATATTTTAAATTAAAATCTACCTTCTAATATCAACCAAATGCTAAGCTACTTGATGAACATATCATACTCAAAAATAGAAGGTAAAAAAACTCAATTCAGGAAACAGTATTAAAGGCATTCATTCATCTTTGGGAAAAGTTTCTTCGGCTTCCATTGCCAGGACTTCAATAATCTTTCTAGTGTCTTTGTGCAAACCAGAAAAAATGGCATGCTCTGTGAGGGGATGCTCTCATAGCAATCTTATTTAAAAGTAAAAGGCCCCCTTAACTTGGTGAGACACAGCTTAGACCATGATCCCTTGTCTTAGCAAGCAGAATGTTAGCTGGACTTCAGCATCCAATCATCAAATCAGCTGTGCAGAAATGACATCATATTCAGCTTAGCTGTTAAACTTTTTCTCCAATAAATCTTGGGAAAAAGCGAAGCTTTTGATGCTTTAGTGATTTGTACTACATTGAAAATCATGATACTTAAATCATATAGGTAAATGTCCAGTGTTTCCAAAACATGGAAAACATCATTTGATGCATCATAGAATCTTGAATTCACAGAGATTACAATGAAATTATGTAACTCAGTAGCCTTATTTTGACGGTATTTACATTTTTTTTCTGTTTCCTTTAACACTGAATTCAGAACAGAAGCATATTTTTAATCACCCATCAATCTGAATAAGGGTTCATTTGCAACGTCCTTTCATGTTGTGACCAACAGGTCATTCTCCATTAGTACATACTACCAAAGGATTTTCTCCAGGCTACATTACAAATTAATCTTTAAATGACAAAGAATCACATCTCCTAAAGCATGGGCTCTCACTGATAAAGAGAATACAATGTCATCACATACTTCATTCACACATATTTATCACATACATGCAAAGAATTGTTCGGATGTTCCCTATCCATTGTTGTATCCAACCAAAACGTGCAATATTTGTTATCACATTTGAGAATAATTGTGCTTCCACACTGATGCCACTGACATTATGGGACATATTGCAAAGCCATTTGATAAAAGATTTTCATCAATTCTGCCTCTCTCCAATCATTTTGTTGAAGTGATTTTAAATATTCCTCAGAAATATGATCTCTTGTACCATTTTTGTTTCTTTTCTACAGAGGCATGATATTCTGAATCATGCCTCAGTCGAAATGGTGTCTTGCCGACCTTTAGCAACAAATACTCCAATTTGATTATAGAGAGATTTTGAACTGGTTCAGGGAAAATGTGTTTAATTAACCAGAAAGATCACTGCTCTTTGTTTAAAAATATCAAAATGTTTGACAGAATTGTACCACTATTCAAAAAATAAAACTTTATGATAGACAGTATACTGGGAACAAATGAATAGACAGTTTACTTAAAATTATGATTCAGATACTTATTTCTGATCACCTTTTCTTTTCCAGATTCATCTGTAAAAATATCACGTTCACTTCTTTCAGTATAGATTAATCCTTTATAGCCACATCAGATCCCTATTTATAATTTACATTTGGAACAGCATTCTGAATTTGAGTGTTTCTGTTATTGTTTTTTACTTCTTATACTTCAATGACCCACTTTCTTTTGTGAATTGGGAATATAATTAAGAAAAGTGCAACTATTAATCATGTAGATTTAACAAGCAAAAATAACTAAATAACACAAAATTAAATTGAGTGAGACAAGCTATATCCAGTTATCTAAACTATTAGCCAAGAACAGACGAAGGCAGTTTCAGAGTACATGCATGACTTCTAAGACTTTGACAATAAGAACCTAAAGGGATTTATATAAAAATCACAAATCTTTTATTTCCAAGTTGTGAACTCATCTCAATAACATTACTTGCTTTTCAAATGAAATTGCCAATCCACTTCAGATTTAATAGAGCACCTAGAGCTACCCATGCTTTAGATACAATACATGGAGAAACACAGCTCTGCAGATGGTCTAACCGGGCAATCTTATCCATTCCTATGACTTTATCATTGAATCAGTGAAGAATCCCAAACATGTGCTGCCTCCCAGATCTCTTTTTTGACTAAAAGACATACCTACCTGGTAATCACACAGGGCATCATAATACAGGACTAAAATTAATTTACCATGCTTTCTTGCCTTGTCCCACCCTCCACCCCCAACAGAATCTTATTATTATCCCTTGTCATGTTTCAGTGACTGGGATCAAATTCTCCTCAGTCACCCAAGCAATAAACTCACTGTCATCCTTGACTTCTCTGTCTCCTTCACGCCTCTCCCCTCAAAAAGGTAGAGTCATTCACCAAGTTTATTTAGTTCTACTCCTAATATTTATGAAAGCTGCCTCTTTTTCATCTTTCCCACTAACAGCATTCCCAGCACCAGACACTGAATTATACCCCAGTTTCCACACTGTACCACAGTAATATTTCTAGAATGCAAAACTAATAATGCTACCTTTATGTTTTAACTCTTTCAAAATAGCTCTGTACTAACCTTGTGCTAAAATCCATAAATCCAGATTTCTTGGTTTGACTCATAAAGTCAATTATGATCTAATTTCTGACTGGGATCATAGTCCACCCTTCTTATCCCCAGCCATGTTGTGTTTATTCTTCAAAATGTACCATGTTCCATTTAACCTCAGGCAGTTCCACACTGAATTCCCTTTGTCTTAAAATGTTATGCTCCTCTTCTCCCATTAAAACTCGTCTACCATCTCCTTCACACAAACTGTACTCTCTCTCTCAATCTCTCTCTCTCTAAATTATGCCCTACCTTGCCTGACAAACTTCTATCATTTCTCAGGACTCGGTTTAAAGTGATCTTCCCGGAAACCTTCCCAAGGCACTAGAAAGTTAGGTTTGTTTCTATGTGCATTCATCTTTAGTTCTTTGGGCTTACCTTGTCATAGCATTTGTCACACTTCCTTGTAATTACATATATTTATATTGCAGGACACAAAATTCTTGAGGAGACAGACTATATTAAATTTACTCTTACACCCCCAGAGCCTAGCATAGTATCTGAAACATAATAGTTGTTGAATTCATTCAAAAAATATTTGTTGAGCATCTATTACGTAGCTGACACACTATCAGACTTACAAATGATACTTCGTTTCTAAATTCATAGACTAATAGATTGAGGAAAATGGATCAAATAACCTAAACATATACACGAATGCATGCATAAATGAATAAATGAATGTATGTGTGAATTATGTCCATGAACCAAAATTAGGACTAGGTTGTGCCTATAGTCGGGCATTTTCTGCTCTTCTCTTTTGGAGTGACTCATCTTTATCAGTGGACAAAATTATAGATGATGCAAATGGGAGTTCAGAAAGAAAAAAATTTCTTTTCTCAATTCTAATTTTGGCTAGGAGTCACAAATATCTCTATACATTCTTCTGGGAATTAATCAAGAAAAAACAGGATTTCTCTTCTTGACTGCCAGCAAGAAAGATAGGGCAGGTTGACGGGGAGAGGGGTGGTAAGAGGATGAGAGGAGGAGTAAGTGGGAATCATGTAGCAGAAGGAACTCTTCGGAAGGTAGACCTAGGTGGCTGGCTGCAGTGGAGGCTTTAGGCTGCCAGTAGGCAGCAAGAGGGCCCTGGGCTCCTGGGCTCCTGGGCTCCAGCAGAGAAAAACTAGAAAGAAATAAACTTTTCCTATATCAGATGGTTTTATATGGCCAAAATCAGGTGATCTTGGAAGAAAGTAGGTATGCCTGTTAACCTCAGAATCCTCAGCTCTAAACAGGGGGTTACTGGTTGCGAAGATTAAATAAGATAATGTTTAAAAAGCCTTTACAAAAGTCTTATATATACCAATCATTATTTAGCTTGTTAATTTGCTCTTTCTTTGGAGTGACTAATTGCTGCTATTTAACGTAACTTCTTCATTTTAACTCCCTGTCCTACAGCTTATCCTCTCTGTGGTTGCGACTTGTGAGGGCAGAGCAAAAACTTCCACCAGTCTTATTGAACAAGATCTATAGTGCCGCATTTGGAAATGTAGGAAATGACTCCAAGACCAAAACCAGTCCTTGTTTAAACATTAAAGATATAGCATGTGAAAATATAGCTACTTATGTTAATTTACCACACATGCAATTTGGCATGAAGTCAACTGGAGAATCTCATCAACACTTGATCTTGCCTACAGTTATACGATTCCTAGTGAATATCTCTCCAGAATAACTTTAGAAGAGACTACTATGTTTATAACAGAGTGAAACGCTTGGCCTCTCTGACTCAAATCTGCTTTGTTGCCATGGTCTTCAGGTCAATAGCTTCTGCTTAGTCTTGTATATAGACATACTAATCATTAGAGGAATTCTGTTTGTAGCTTCAGTTTTAGAAAAACAGACTCTTAACAGAAGGGCATCTCTCAAGGAGACAAAAGATATATAAAAATAATGACTGTCAAAGATTTGCAGGACCTTCGCGACTGGACTCACATCAACTAGAGTCAACAGACTAAAAACAAAGAAGTTTCACAATCTTCCTGGGACACCTGCTGGCACCCAGATGTCTGTAGTCAACAATCACCTCTTACCCCTCCCATTTCCCCTTTCCCTTGACATAAAAGAAATCTGAAATCTGTACTTTCTTAATAAGGTTCTTTAGGATGCTAGTGTACCATCTGCTCGGCTTGCTGTTTTTCTGAATACAGTTGCTTTCCTTGCTTCAACTCTGTCACTCAGTTTCTTGGCTATCATGCAGTGAGCAGTAGGAGCTTAAACTCAGTTACATGAATTAGAGGTGGAGACCATAATTTTCACCTCCATTCATTCTTTAATCTTTATTTTTAGTACTGAAAAACACCTGTAGCTACCAATTTTAGAGACTATATTTCTCAACTTCTCTTAAAGCTAAGCGTGGTCATATGACTAAACTCTGCCCAATGGGCTTTGAAAGGATAATGATGCATTTTTTTCAGGAAACATCCTTAAAAGGTATTTACTTGTCCTCTACTCCCTATTTGTTCTTCCCTATTCTGAGAAACCGACCCAGAGATGAAAGCCCAGCACTGAGGATGGAAGAGACACTCCACTACTTCTAAACCACTTACTTCTCCACAGTTCCATAAGAATAAAAATTCAATCTTATTTGAGCCACTGTGTTTTTGAATCTTTTACAGCAGCATTACCTGTACCTTAACTAATACACTATTCTTGTAAATCGACCCAAAGAATCCAACACAGTAAATAAGAGTGGAAATGTTACCTTATACATCTGAAGGAATACATCTGTCCATGCCCGTTGACTCCAGGCTTCAAACTTAGTCATATCTATAACGATAGAATGCTTTTCCTTAGGTAGAGAGGAACACACAGGCAAGGTATTAGTGGAAGACTTGAAGAAATAAAATATCACAACATTAATTAAAATACAAGGCAAATATAATTCCAAAGTTTTAACTACTTAGCTAGCATATATTATAAAACCTATGCATGTCCTTTTCATATATTCATCAAGATCTCTATTTCCCCATGTGCCAGTCATAGAAAGTATCGACATAGGTAACTTTATGGAAATCACAGACTTTTATTGAAGTTGTAGATTTATTCATTCAATGCATCTACTATCCCACTCTGTGGCATTAGTGGCACAATAAGATGCAAAGAATTCTGAACTCTGAACCCTCGAAAGAGCCACACCATTTGGATTAAGCCACAGGAACTCAGCAGAATGCCAAAGAACAGTCCCATGGCTCTACTACTAATGTCATGTGGTGACTGTAGTAACAGTGCCACAACTAAAGTAGAGTTGCCTCAAAGCTGACAGGTGCCTTAATACAATAGGTTTCCACAAAATGAATTGAATACTTTGAAAAAAATCTATGCATATCTTGTTTAATTTCTTCCTATTCTCCCCTAAAACTGAACATGGGAAGTGGCAAGTGGTGAGAAAATTAAACCAGCATTTCCTTTGAAAGATATATATTCTAAAAATGTATTTAAAAAAAAAAATTACATAAGCACATACCATTCCACATTTTTAAATCCTCTAAAAGAAGCAATTACTATATATTTAAGAAAACCATGTAATCATTTCTGCCTCGTCTCCACACAGATTTTTAGACAGATACTATATATATGTCATCCAGGCATAATCCTTAGGATATTTCATAAATAAAAAATCAAGGATTCTAAAGTGGAATCTTTAAGCAAAGACCAAAATCTAGTAAATTCAAAAATAACTGCACAGATGTTCTCAGAAATTACATTCTCTTACTGTAATTTTAATCCACTTCTTATAATCTTCTGGTTCAAACAGAAATTCTGGCAGTACATGAGGAATACATGCTCCTTGAGCACTAAAATTAAAAAAGAAAATTCCAAATTATTATAGTATAATACAATCTGTATATCACTTGCATTTCAATTTCAATTAAATTATTTCAATGTATATAGTTTGTTTATTGAATTTTAATTTTAAATTTTAAAATTTATAATTAATTTTTAAGTTTCCCTTACCAGTGAAATGTGTATATGATGTTTCCTTTAGAGAACTGATTGAGAAAGAACTAAGTGCCTATAATCATCCACATTTACCCTTATATGTTAATGGAGTATAGTTATATGACTTAGTCCCTATTGTCAAAGCACTAGCCATCTTATTGTTGCTATGCCATTACAAAATTTTTAAATAGCTGGAAAAAGTTTGAATAAAATAAAACATCTAATAAATAAATCATTAGTCACCTAATGTTCATTGAATACCTATCACCATGTATGCCTGAATATAAAAAATATATATATATACCATGATCCATCACTTATTTTTCCAAAGAATACTCAAAAATTGTGGTCTCTTTGATTATATAAACCTGTAGTAGTATAGCTGAAGCAGTAAATATCTATTTATATTATTTTATTCATTTAAAAATATATAAACATATTTACGTGTATATAATTTATCATTTTTAAGACTTTATAATTTTTTCGCTGTCAAATTTCTTGAAATATTTTAATCCAAACTCTTCACATGTATGTCCACTTCCACCAGAACCACGTTATAGATATTTAATACAGTTTTGGCAGGAGTGATTCCTGGTAGGGATTTGAGTGTTTAGGTCAACCTCATTTAGTGAGCATAAAACCCCACACATCATAAGCATTTATGAGAGAAGAATGCCATCTCTAATATTTAACTTGAAATACCCTTAGCAGTTTATAGTCCTGTAACTACTGAGAAGTGGGATAAAGAAAAGGCAGAAAGGAGCCTTAAGATGATTTTGAAAGCTCAAACCTTGAAGATAGCACAGATGAATATGAGAAAAGAGAAGGAAAGAAGGAAACCCTAGTAGGAGAGCAAACAGTGAACACAGTTCTAGAGTTGTTAGATTTGTATTGACTGGCCCTGGGCCAGTTGAAACTAGTGGAAGAAATTGTGCTGCGTACGTAAAGCTCCTTTGTTTGAAAGTCAAACATCATCCCTTTTCTTTGGTTTTCACTTATTTCCTGTCTGCATCTACATTATTCCTATGAATCTTCATTACATCGGAATTACTATAGGTTTACATAAAATCTAATTTTAATGGCACACCACTCCTTAGGATGAGCAGCCAACCTAAAGCCTATGTAAGAACTCAATGAGATGACATCCCATTAAGGTGAAATCCTAGAAAGTGAAACAGACAGCACAGAGACATATGAAGAAAGTGGAATACCTCCTTGCATCCAAAGCCAAGACGGGATCTCAGAAGGATATGATCACTTCTATAGAATACTACTGAAAGCCTAAGGAAAACTATCAGGAAACAGACTGAGAGCTACTTAAGGAGGGAGACCACATGGTATTCATTTGAGCACTCCACAGTGTCCAGCAGAAAATAAGCCCTCAGTAAAATGTTAATGTAAGAATGCATTTTTGCATTGGTAAAGACAATAGGTCCAAAATGGAGTTGGTTATGCTAAGCCCCACCTTACTAAACGGGGACTTAATTACCGTTTTGGCTCCCCCAAAATGGAATCTTAAACTGTTCAATCAGAATCACCTGATCAGCATGAGTTAGGTAATGTGCCTGATAGACCCCCGCCATTCCCTAAAGGAAAGTGACGTTGCAATAACCAATCTGCCTTTTTGCTGTAGGGGTGGAAAACTTACCTTTTTCCCTTTTAGATTCTTTGGTGGTCTAATAATCAGATTGACATAAGATAGATTAACAGGAGAAAAACAAATTTAATTATGTACCTAGGGAAGCCCCACAAAGACATGAGACTCCCAGGCAATCAGGTAATTGAAGTTTACATGCCATCTCGAGCTAAGGAGAAGTGGGTAGGGGTCTGGGGCTTCAAAGGGATGGAAGATAATTCACAGGAAGATGAGAAGAGTAGATGTTTGGTAAACAAATGTTTGCCTGACCATATAGCTAGCTACATCTTTCTGATACAAAAAGCTATCTCTGGTAGTAGCTCTCTTTCTGGGCCAGGGTCCCTATCTAAATTCTTTTAGGCAGTTAATGGAGGAGTAAAAAGATTTTCATGAGTCTGCTGGGTCTCAACTGCCTACAGCTCAAACCAATCTACATGCTAAAGTGGCACATTTTAGGGTGGCATGTCCCACTCCCCTTCATTGCCTAAGTGCAACTTCATTGTTCTTGCTCCCTTCTGCTTAAAAACTCTCTTGCCTTAGATAGCTCTTAAGAGCTTCTTCCTATCTGCTAAATTGGAACCTGTCTGATTCATAAATTGTTGAATAAAGCTAATAAGATCTTTAAAATTTATTCAGTTGAATTTTGTTCTTTACCAGCATTTTACAGATGCTGTTATGAAGTGAAAGGTAGCAGAATATACTACCCTAAAATGTGCCTCATTGGCCTAGCAATGATTTTGAGAAAACTACGGACATAAAAGCTCTGAAAACAGAGTAGAAGTTACTTTTTTGTAAAGGAAATCTACATTTATTAAAAAAAAAAAAATTGCATTAGAAAAGAAGCCTGTACCTGGAAGACAGTGATTACCAGAGATAATTTTTTCACCTAAGAGACTTATCTGCATGGAAGGGCAACCATTGTTTAACAAACCTTTCCTCCTCCCTCCCTTCAGACTCCCCCACTTTGAAGCCCTAGACCTCTATCCCTTTCCTTAGCTCTGTCTGTCTTTTGAGTCTCATATCTTTGTGGGGCTACCATACTTACATATGTAATTAAAATAGTTTCTTTTTCCTGTTAATCTGTCTTTTACTACAGGGGAGTCTCAGCCAAGAACCTAGAAGGATAGAAAAAAAATTGTTTTTCTTCCCCTACAAGAGATGAGTTTCTTCCTTTAAAAAACATAATCTATCTGAAGGCCTAATTTCATCAGTCCCTAAGACAGTATTTACAATTACATTTGATTTTATTACACTTTTATATGCTAGGCTTTCTATTTGCATATTTCTTCTGAGTTTACTCTGAGTAGAACAAAATAAAATTATATGTAATGAGTTATTAAAGTCTAAACTTAATCTCCAAAAATTATAGCTTCTCATTTATTGCACAAAATCCATAATTTCATTTGTACAAAAGTCCTCACTCACTGTCACCAAATTTAAATCGAGAACCTAATAACATTTATTATCATTTTGAATTTAATACATTTATTTCCATGATGAAACATATGCATGTATCTTGGATTAATGGTCCAATTTTATTAACCATACTGCCACATTCTGAATGTCGAAGAATTTTATCAGAGCCAACATATCTTGATAGTCATATGTTTGCTGATAAAAGAGTAATAAATTTAAACGGCTTGGCTTTAATGCCAAAATCATTCTTCCGCACCTGCATCCCCATACCACTAAATGTCAAAACAGAAACCTCCCCTATTAATGTCAACACTACTGGAGCTGTGCCAACAATAATGCTGTAAGAATAACACGATGATCACAAGTACCACAGAGTTTAATGATGCTATCAGAAAACCGTTTGATTTCTATAATGCACAAACAATAAAGATTTACTTAAGTACCCAAATATCCTTCTTTTGTTCACAGTTGATATTCTATTATATTTTAAAAGTACAACTAAGTTTCTAAAATAAGAATGGCATTACAATTTTTGCCTTATTGAATTAAAACATTTATTTTACCGAATCAATCAAGGACCAAGAGTAGGAAGTGATAAAATTAAAAGTCATGTGCTTTTGATTTTAAACTTAATAAAATTAAAAAAAAAAATTCTATGTATCTAATATAAAGACGGAGTTGATAAATACTGGTTTTCTGGCATTCTTTATGTCAATAAGACATTTATGTTTAACAAAATAGATTTTGAAAATATTCTATTTCAATGATGGTGATATCATAAGAGTTAGTTTTCAGTGTGTCATTAATGGTTACCATGTTGGAATAATTTAAAGAAACATTTTAGCATATGAAATCCATTGATCATAATTTATTACACTTATCATATCATCATCATTTATTATGTGTCATGTAATACATATTTTATTATTTCTAATTTTTTTATCAATCAAGTTTGAGAATTTTAACCCTTAATTTTACAGATAATAAAACTGTGGCTTAAACAGGTTAAGTTGCTTGTACAAAGTCACGGGAGTACAAAAGAGCTAGAATTTAAGCCTTCATCTACCTAATTCAAAAGCTATACTCTTTTACCCCACTTCAATATGCACCTCCAGAATCACTTATTAAATTGTTGCTTTGAAATATTTTCATTCTTTCCATTAAATAAGATACCATAATGGACATGCATATGAGAGAAGTGTATAGTTTTTAAAGATAAAAGAAGTAAAATCACAAATGGAATTGAATTTACTTATAGAGAAAAGTGAGTTTTTTTCCCTAATTGTATTTACTTTGGTAAATGAAAACTATATTTAAAAATCAATGTAATTAGAAAGTAAGAGTTATAATAGTTTTATATTATGTAATATCCTACATTATAGTTTCAGTGTAGGATACACAATGTTTATATTCTGCTTAGTTTTATATTATGAAAATTAAAAATCAAAAAAGTTTACTTTTTCAATGAAAATTAATCATGTTATAAAAATAATTACTGGTTATAACAAATAAAATTATATCAAAGGATATAAGACACTGCATTGATCTGTTCAGGCTGCCATAATAGAATACCACAGATTTGGTAGGTTAAACAAAAGAAATTCATTTTCTCATAGTTTTGGAGGCCAAAAGTCTGAGAACAAGGTCCCAGAAAATTCAGTTTCTAGTGAGACCTCTGCTTCTGGCTTGTAAGTGGCTGCCTTCTTGCTGTGTTCTTCATATGACCTTTTCTTTGTGCTGAGAAAAATAGAAAGAACGAGAGAGGAGGAGGAGGAGCGAGGAATGAGGGTGTTGTAGATAGATATTTCTGATGTCTCTTCCTCTTTTTATATAGGCACTGGTCTCATCAGCTTAGGGCTCAACCTTTAGGATATCATTAACCGTAATTACATCCTTAATGGGTCCCTCTCCAAATATAGTCACAATGAGAGTTAGAGCTTCAACATATGAATTTCGGAAGGACACAATTCAGTCTATAACAGGCACAAATGACAATGAACATTAAGCATATCATATCAAATAAAGCAATACAAAAGTTATTGTAAAATATAATATCCAATTACATAGTATTTTTCTTAATAAAACACATATGGCATTGTTATGGGCTGAAATGTGTCTCCTCAAAAGTCATATGATGAAACTCTAGCCCTCAGTACTTCAGACTGTGAATGTTTGGAGTTAAAGCCTTTAAGGTGATTAAGGTAAAATGAGGCTGTTACAGTGGGCCCTAATCCAATCTGACTGGTGCTTATAAGATGAAATTTGGACACAGAGAAACACCAAGGGTGTGTGTGCACAGAGAAAAGGTCATGTGAGGACGAGAGAAAAGGCAGCCATTTGCAACCCAAGCAAAGAGGACTCGGAAGAAATCCAACACTCCAACACCTTAATCTTATACTTCCAGCCTCCAGAATGTGAAAAAATACATTTATGTTATTTAAGCCATCCAGTCAGTGGTATTTTGTTATGGTAGCCTTAGCGAACTACAGGTATGATGGAATAAATGCCTTAATGATGAAAGTTAATTTTAAGAATTCATAGTTTAATATTATTTAAAAAGTTCAATGTATAACAATCATAGTACCCACCCTAATTTTCTCCAACTTGACTCTATGACTGGTTACATCTTCCCTCCTAGAATGCAAATGCTTTACTTTTTCTTTTTTTACCCCTCAATTTTCTATTTCACAAAATGTTCCTCATTCTTATGAGACTGTCCTGAGACAATTTCAAATTTTTATTCCTTTTAGTACAGGAGCTCAAAAAGCAAAGCTCTGTGAAAGAAAATGTTAATAAATATTTAATGACCACTGGACTTATTCTGTGTTATCAATGACCCTGGGGTGTTAAAGAGATGCCAAAAGATACAGATGTGGTTCCTGTCCTCACATGCTCACATTCTCAAAAAATAGTGGAGTACAGTGACTCATGAATAAGTCAGTGGAGTGCTATTTTCCTTAACTAATAGAATTTTAGTCTCCCACCCAGATTGTGTATAGAAGAACAGGGAGAAAATACAGACTTGAATCTTCACATATCTTAGTCTCTTCTGATCTGAACAGTCTCTTTACGGTAATTCCTTTCTTTGGGATAAACGATCAAAATTTCAGACCTCCTCTTACCACCAGATGGCATCTTACTTACCACCAGATGGCATCTAGGAAGAGGCAGATTTACAAATAAGTAAATAAGTAAATAAATCCTTAACTTCAGGTTTCCTCACTTTCATGAGTCACTTCTAAAGCCATGTATCTATTTTTTTGTCTTTTTAATTTGATATTATTGTATAAAAGCAGAATCTCCAAATTGTATAAGGCCTCTCAGGACATGGATCATCCCAGTATTTGGGCTTACATGAGGTAGGTGAGAGAGATTCTTGTATCTGTGCGTGAGGTTTGTGATTACTTTTCTGAATCTTCAGTGTTTTTGGAAATACCTCTTCTGCTTAAAGCCTAGGTGCCATGTGGGCATCTGCTGCTGAGACCTGAAATGAGGATCTTGTGTCTTTCCTCTTAGCCCCATCAAGGACCAATAAGTGCCTCATAACTGACTCAGCCACTCCCCAGTCTTCATACATTTGTCATTCATATCATGGCTTCAGAGCCAGCCACCCTTCTGCCTCTTTGTCAACCCAGTATCCTCCAAAACAGGCTGCCTGAGTCTTGACCCAGTCAACTTCACCAACTTAAAAACTTCTAGATCTCTTACATGTCACAAGAAATGCAAGCTAGTTTGGGTTATTACCATGATAGTGAAAGTCTAAGAAATAAAGAAAAAAACATTTTTTCAGTACCATGTCTAATTTTTAAGATCATGGTATTGCTAGGGACTGAGAAAGTCTGATCTAGAAATTTTAAAAATTGAACATCAAATCTTTCATTTCAATTCCTGTTATAAGTGTCCTCTTCTTGCCTTCCATCCACACTCCTGTTAAAGTAGATGAATATCTCCGGCCAACTATGGAGTGGATTCCATACACAAATAAGCCAAATATAAAAACACAGTAACATATTTCAAAATATATTAACCCTAGTGCATTAATAATTGTAAGTAACAAGTACTATTTTAGTGGTACGAGAGTATGGAAGATGGAGTAATAACACCGCTTATGAATGTGGGGAGTTCCACTGCACAAGAATTTTGCAAATGTAAGCAAAAGAAGTGCTTACTATAACTCTTCTTACAGTTTTAAGCATTGCTTTTCCATTTCTTGGCCACTTGCCATTTAATCTCTGCAGAGGAACACAGACATTATGATGTCAAGTATTTCTCCTATTTTCTATCAACTATTTATGGAAAATTTCATTTGTTTATAATTTGAATATTAAAAGACTTCAACTATGCAACTACAAGTTCACAGTACTCATAAATTGAGATTATACTAACAGTAATCTCAGGAATAAACTTATTTATTTCACCCCATTTTTGTTCAATGGATTTATATATTTGCCTTATATGAGGATTCTCAAGATGAGGTTATGAACCAGAAATATCGATATCACTTGAAACTTGTTATAAATGCAAATTAGCATCATAAACTATGTGGGTAAGGGCCAGCAACCTGTTTAACATGCTATCCCAATGATTTGGATACATGATAAAATCTGAGGAAGATTTCCTTAGATTATAAATTCATTAGGTTATGAAATGTTTATTTTCTATTATTCTTCCAAGGTACATATTTCAGGGTTAGGTAAACTATGGAAACTTAGTACATATTTTATAAAAAGATAAATAATATCAAAGTTTACCTAGCTATCTATCTACCCATCTACTTACTTTTCTATCCAAGCCAAAATTACATTTTTAAATTAGCACATCTATGCACTTACTTGAGAAAGTCAAGAAGTGAAGAATGTTGCATATGAAGTTGAATCACTCTTTCAGTGAAATCCACAGGTAACGACTGACTTGAATTAATTCCATCAGGCATTTTTCCACTCAAGTGGCGTACCACATCATAAATGGTTCTATTATATCTTAAAAAGTCATTCTGTCGTAAAATTCTTTTGGATAATGAGGCTGATGAGCAGGCTTGCATTTTATACACATCCCTATGGGAAAATGATTTATTTTTTTTTTAAATCTTAAAATGTTATGTTATGGAAATAAATGTTCTATGACTAAATAAAATTCTATATAAAATCAAGTAAAAAATTACAAAAATTACTTTATTCAGCTACTATTTGTTAATAAAAATAGATTTTTTAAATAACTCCAGAGTTTTCCAGTATCTTCTTTTAAGCACAAATAATTAATGTTGCAACTGTCAAGTCTGAAAGATTAGATTGTAATTAGAAAATTTAAGAGCTTTTGATAAACAGTATAGTGGTTAAATCCTGGACCCATTGCCTACTAACTATATGAGTTTGACAAGTTATCTAAACTCACTTAACTTAATATCGTTCCCTATAAATTGGAGATAATAATGTCTATAATAGTTTCCAATATAGATTTTGAACATTCATCTCACGTGTATATACAAAGACAAATTTACACGCATTTTCTCAATATGTATTTTAATACTTAGAAGGGCACATCCTAAACATTAGCCTCATGATTCTCATTTTAAAGTCCAGAGATCTAGTTTTCTCATATATTTCTCTGTTCTTTAAGTTAAGACAACACAATCTCTATTTCCTGATACTTTCCCACACCAAATTGTGATATATGCTAATTTTTAAATGGAGTAAAAAATTGCAACCAATTCTTGCTGTCTACAGTTTATCAAATACCTAATACTATACTATTTGTTTGCGAGCATTCAAAGTCACAAATGTATCACCAGCTTCGACTGACAAATAAAAAGTGCCCAAGGAGCCGTTTTGAACAGCAGTTCTCCAGTTTGGTAGCTAGCAGGTCTGTTTCACATATTACAGCAGAAAGCACACTGATTTACGTAAGGGTTTAACCACCACTGCTCAAACCCTGGCTCTGCCACTTCCTCTGTGACTTTATAAGAGTTAGTTGGCCTTTCTTTCCTCAACTTCCTCATAAGTAATGTATATAATAGGGCTAGTATATCATGAAATTATCAATAAAACAAACAAATACTTCATGGAGAAAATTAACACCATCACAGGCTTTAAAATATTTCTACAAAAAAAAAATTATAAAAAATATAACTGGTCTAAATGTAATTAAAACATAACCAGATAATGACGAAATAAGGAGAAAAGGTAACAAGATGAATGCAAATGGAAAGAAACAATAAACAATATGAATAAAGAGGGGCCCAGATATTATAGTTATAAGACATGGATTTCAAACTAACTGTATGTACTATGTTTAAGATTGAGAATTTTGTCACTGAATTATAAATTATATAAGAAATGACCAAATAGAAAATTTAGAAATAAATCTTGTAAGTAAAATTATAAGAGCAATGGATGAGCTTAACAGCAGATTAAACCTAGTGAAAAGAGAAATACATTGAAATATAGGCCATAGGAAAGTATCCATACTAAACTGAACTTTGGGTGGTAAACACACAATAGAATATACAGATGTCAAATTGTAATGTACACCTGAAAATTTTATAATTGTATTAACCATTGTTACTTCAATAAAAAAAAAAGAAAAAGAAAATAAATAAATGATGAGAAAGAGCCAAAAAAAAAAAGTATCCATACTGTAATATAGAGGGACAAAAAGATGGAAAATACAGAAGAGTGAACAAAGAAGGAAAGGAGCCCAAAAGAATGGGGCAATCAAGAATTCGAAAAGATAATGGCTGAGAACTTTCCAAAACAGACAATAAAAATATTAAACCACAAATAAAAAATCACTATGAACCCAATAAAAATAAGTACAAAGGAAACTTTTCTAGGTACGTCACAATGAAGTTGCTGAAAATTAAATATAAAGAGATAATCTTACAAGTATTTCAAAAAAAGATACCTTTAAAGCAGTAAAAATTAGAATTTCAGATGATTTCCTAATAGCAACAATAGAGGATAGAGAAAAATAATATATCTTAAATAAGCTGAAAAAAATAACTGCCAACCTAGAGAGAATCCTATATCAAACAAAACTATATAATTAGAATAAAGGTGAAAAATATATATATTTTTAGAAACAAATACAAAAATTTGTTACCAAATAACCTTAATTAAAAGATCTAAAGACACCTGCAACTAATATAATATTGTAATGCCAACTGTAATTGGAAAATTAAAAAATTATTTTAAAAAACTAAAGAGTATTTGACAGGAAGAAAATCATCTTACATCGAAGATTAAAAATACAAGAAGAATGAAGAACAATAAAATTGGCAAATGCATGAGCAAATATTGATTGATTAATCAATAATAATATTTGGTGTGTATATATATAATTATACTACATAACAACAATAGCAAGTGACAGGAGGAAAGAAAATAAAGTTAAAATATCAAATGCCCTTGCAACATCAAGGAAGAAGATAAAATTATTAATTAGTAAAAGGCTTTAATAAGTTAAGAATGTATGCTGTATTGCCTAAAGTAATGATTAAAAGAATTTAAAAAATGTATTTAAATATCTAAGCTAGAAGACGAATCGTGAAATAAGAAAAGAATGTCTACTCAATCCAAAATAAAGCAAAAAAAGGAGAGAAAGGGAACAGAGTAGACAGAAAAATAGAAGTTAAAAACATTGTAGATTTAAATCCAAGATTATAGTAGTTATATTAAATTTATATGAACCATAAACTCAAATTAAAAGACAAAGATTGAAACAATAATATGAAACAAGCCAAAGATAGGGTATAAAAAGAAACATAACCAAAAACATAGGAAACAGAAGATTTATGTAAAAGATACAAACAAATACTATATAAATATTAACCAGAAGTGATGTACCTATGTTAATATAAGATAGCTTAGAACTTAAGGCATGAAGCATTAGTAAGTATAAAGACATTCTATAGGCATAAAAGTCTGAATAAACCACAAAGGTGCTTCAACTGCACATTCAAATGCACTTGGTACAGCTTCAAAACATATAAAGCAAAAATGACCCAATTAAAAAGAAGTAGGTAAATGTACAAATATAAGTAAAGATTTTAACAATTTTATCCTAGTCATTAATAAATAATTTAAAAGTCAATAAGCATATATATTATTTAAAGAGTATAAGCAAACTTAGTTTTAATGTACATACATGGAAAACAGCTTTCAATAACTACAAAATACACAATATCTTCAAGTCGAAATGTTTATAAAATCTAAATAAATGCTGACCAGTAAACAAATGTCAAAAATTTCAAAGAGGATGGTCTCTGACCTCAATGAAATTATGTTGAATATTAATAGCAAAATCACCAAATGCAAGTTTCTAAATGACCTTTGTAGAATAAAGTACATTGGAAATTGGAAAAAATGAGTTGGATGAAAAAAAATTGTTACATATAAAAATGTGCAATTCAGATAAAGCCAAATTTAGAAGAAAAAGTTTAAAAATTAAATCTTTTTATGAAAACTCATGACGAGAAATAAATTAAACTTCATAAACTAGTAAAGGGTTTCTATAAAAAGCATACAGTGAACCTCATAAGTAATGATAAATGTTGAAAGGTATTCTCCCTAAGATTGAGATTAAGAGGAGGATACCTAGTATTCAATATTTAACTGGAGATCCTAGCCGATGTAACAAGTCAAGAAAAAGATGTGAGGATTAAAAAGGGAAAAAAGTGTCAGCCTAAGATAATCAACATTGTTTATATTATTTATATGTAGCAAATAGAAAATTATATTATTTATATATTGCATATAGCACATAGCATATATAGCTTATAGAAAAATGGAAAATAAAATAGAGAAAAATGCTGTTTATCATAACTTCAAAGCATATTAAATACTCAGGGATAAATCTATCAAATTATGTGGGAGGACTTAATTGAAAACTGTAAATCATCACTAAGATAAACTTTAAATGAGCTAAATAAAGGAAGCTCTTTTATTTTGATAAGGAAATATTGTAAAGATGTCAGCTCTTTCTCAATTTATCATAGACAAAATTTATTCACAATAAATATAAGAGCAGGTTTTTTGAGGGAGATATTTATAAGTGATTCTAATATTTATATAAAATGTAAATGGAATAAACAGCTAAAAATATGGGAAAACAACAAACTTTGAGTACTTATACTTAAATATCCAGAATGGGAAAACAACAAACTTTGAGTACTTATACTCAAATATCAAGAATGATAAAGTAAGAGAATTTAATACAATTTGGTATTGATGCAAAAAATATACAAACTAATCAAAAGAAAGTACTGCACAGATTGACAACTATATGAATGTCTAACATGAAAAAGGAGGCAGTGTGGTATCGAGTCAACTGGATATTCATATTTTAAGAAACAGGGGAAAATAAAGTATATCTTGACCTTTATCTCACAACATACACAAAAGTCAATTCCAAGAGAAAAGCATTATCCATCAAGATAAATATTCAAAATTAGACTACATTAAAGTTATGGAGAAGATATATGTAATACATATAACCAATAATATACTCACATACAAAATTCATAAAATTCCTCTAATAAATAAAAAGAGATAATTATAATATTATCATTACCTCCTTTTTACAAAAGAGAAAATAGAGGCATAGAGAAAATATTTTTATTTTGCATGTGCTCAATATGAACGGTAGAGCGAACATGCACCGATTAATTTGATTTTCTGTGAGATTCTACATATTTATACTAAATGAGAGCTTCTGTAATGTAATGCCTAGCTTTGGAACAACTTGAACCCTTTCTGACTGACATCCCTGGATGTATTCTTGGTGTGTGGCAGCTGGGGGAGGTACATGTTGGAGTGAAAGCTTGGACCAACACTCATCTGTACTGGAAATCCTACTCCTCCCACATGAAGTGGGACCATCATTATACCAGAAACTTTGAATAACATCTACAAAACAGAGAATGGATGGAATGATATTAAGGAATAAATCAAAATGATGTACTACGTAGCAGTAGGTTACAGAGGGAAAGGAAGCTTTTCCTAAAGGACCATAAGTGTACAGTCAGCAGATACAGAGGGAGGAAGTACAGTAATCATAATGATTTAAAGAAATACTATATATGAAAGAGATATTTGAGAAAGTGTGCATCAATAACACAAAAATAGGATGCTATTGTGAAAGAAAGACAGAAGGAAGGATAGAAAGAAGAGAGGGCACGAGGGAGGGAAGAGATAGGGAGGAGATAAGGAGGAAAGACTGGGAGGGAGAGAAGAAATAAAGAATAACACAAAGTTCCTAGAAAATAAAATTATAAGAACCAATTTAAAATTGTTATAGAAGACTGGAAGAGGAAGCAAAGATCTACAAGTATAAAAGCAAAAGGTAGAAAAAAGATGAAAAACAAAAAACATAACTGAGACTAATATAAAGGATCAGTCATGCAGGTCCATCATCATTCTCAAATGAGATTAAGGAAGAAAAAACAGAAAACAGAGAAATAGCCGAAAAGGAGGCAGAAAAGAACAGTTAAAAGATCAGTTTTCTAAGTGAAAGGGCCTACTGAATGTCAAGTAGATGAAATGATATAAAATATCCCCATGTTCAGATTTCATTTCAATAAATAACAGAATAGAGTAGCAGAGAAATGGGAACCATAAGATAATCCTGAGAGAATTATCAAGTATTCACAAAATATGATATCAGTCTTAGCAGAAACACTAAGTGATTCCAAATGATGGAGAAATGAGACACTGAGGAATGAGTTCAAATATTGGCAACAATATATGACCTTGGAAGTATTTTCTTAGCTGGGGAGTCCATGATGCAAAGATTCCAAATAATAAAGAACTGCCACTGAATAACATTGCCACTTGACAAAGTTTATGTTTATTCAAAGTTGTTTGGCTGTAGGCAGCTTCCTTCCCAGGGCTAGAGAGGCCCCATATTCTTCTAAAACTGCCTTTCCCCCAGACAGCATCCAGCGACCTAAGCTGTTTCTCATTCATCAAAATAGCAAAGCACTCAATTTTGTCAGGACAGAACCAGACCAACAATGTAACTCATTAGTGAGAATATAAAATAAAACATTTACTAGAAAATCACCTAAAAATATAAGAGATTTTAAAAAGCTTATGCTATTTAATTCAGTGATCGCACCTCTGAGAACCTTCTTATGTAACACCCAGAAATGTCTGCTACCATTTATAAATAGATGTGGTCAACCTCGGCATTATTTACATTAATAAAATATTTTTAAAAATAACTTAAGTAACTGCCCAATAATTAGTGTAAATAGGCAAGTAAATAATAATGCATGAATGCAATAACATATTATACAACAAATTAGCAATCATTATTATGGTAAAAATATAAGAAATGAAAGTTAAAATCACAGGCACTATAAAAAAAACAATGAAAACACTTAATGGTAAAAATTCTGAGATGCATCCAATGTGAAATAAAGATATAAATTTATAAACCTAAAAAAATTAAGTATACAATTCAAGTTTAAAGAAAAAATAAATTATACAGAAAAAAATCAGCATTAAATGATTTAGAAAACATAGAAATGAATAAATTAATCTAAGAACTTATTTGTTGTATTAGACATAAAAGTAAACTGTTAATATTCATAATAAAAAAGATTAAAATTATAAAAAAGGAAGAGACTGTAAACACAAACAATATTAGTAGTCACAACTCTTAAATAATGAATTTTAAATGCCTAGTCAATGATTTCCACTAAAATGAAAAGAAATCATTAAAATTTACTCAAAAGAAGTAAAATTTTCAGTAGGACAAACACCAAAGCAAAAAACTGAAAAGTTGTAACAGAATAACTTCTCTTAAAAATTCCCTGGAGTCAGACAATTTTATGATCAAGCTGGTAAATTTTCAAGGTGCCTGCTACATCAATTTTCGCTCACCATAGACAAAAGATGAAATATTAGCTAATTTATTCTATGAAGCTGATATTGTCTGATTAATTTTAAAAACTGAAAAAGTTAACATAGGAAAACTATAGATGTCACAAAACCTAGCTGAGTCTTGAATATAGATGCAATTAATTCTAATATAGTGCTTCTAGATAGAGATTAGTATTCACCCCTATGGTTTCAGCAAGTTACTCCAGTGCTGACAAAGGAGGCAGAAACGCTCTCATAACCACTATGCCAGCAATGTTACAAGGAAGGTGCCTAACATCCTGTTTTAATTAAAAACAGAATTAAAATAGCTTGATATAACCAATGCAGTTTAACTATTTCAGGCATGCTGAGTAATAAAACAACACATGAAAGAGTGAGGTAAATGTACTGTCAAAGACGAGATAGTTTCAAATAAATCGTGTCTTCCCTGTTCACTAATACTACTGTTCACCCGATTATACTCTAGATCTAGGGCTGATATTTCATTTATAGAGAAATGTGGAGTTTCCAATTTTTCAAATTTAAAAAGCCTTTTCCTACCCATAGTTTACCCTTTGTATTTAACAAATGAGGAAACTGAGGTTCAGAGATTTTTCAGTGCTTGTCTAAAATCACTGGATCTTCAAAAGAAGTAAAATAGTACATGTATACTAAAGAATTTATACTTGTATCTTTTTGCTTTTCTTATTAGTTTCTTCATAATTTATCAATTTAGAATAAATTACTTAACACTGTGTTTCACTTTAAACAACCCCAATAAAAAGATATTTTATTATATGATATAAAGCAAGAGAAACATGTAACTGTCACCTTCTTATAGTCTTTGGAATGGAAAGAAAATGGGGTCCTTCCGGCCAGCCGAAGAGACTGAACCAGGTCTCAGCTGCATTTACAACCTTCTGAAAGAAGTCATATGCCTTTGTTCCTTCTTCAGGAAAAAAATGCAGATTTTTCTCTTTTTCCATTAGTCTACCGCCTTTTTTCTTTGACGTTTTACATTTGCTGGAATTCAACTTTTCAGGTATTATTTCCATTCCTAAAATTCACATATTTTGTAAAAAGCATTATTTGACCATAGAGTAAAATATTCTGTCAGCCACTGCTATTTATAGGTAGACAAACAGAGCTTATTCTATAAATTAGTCTATGCTCTAAAAAAAATTCTGAATCAATTTACTATTATCTTAAAATAAAGAAATCAGATTTGTTTTCAAATATCCAACAGAAATACTTTAAATACATATTAATTTTAATAAAGAAAACTGTTAAAGTATCTTCTTGCCATAATGGTATGTGAAAATATTCCCCAAAATGGAACTTTTCATTTTCAATTACATATGTAAAATATTTTAACAATTCTTTAGCATTACTTGTTAGAATTACATCTTAGCTGAAAAACTTATCTAGAAACGAAATATTGGCTTCAGATTCTAAATGACTCTCTATCTGAGTGAAGCACTTCAATAAAACAAAACATTTTTGAATTAGAGAAATTTTCAAAATTATAAAATGATTTCATCACTTTTTTTTTTCAAAAATATCTCCCAATGTAAGGGCACAAACACAACTCATTTAAAATCCTCACAATATATAATTTGGTTAAAAAACATTCATTAAAAGAAAATATTTCAATACTAATACTCAGAGAAGAGAATATCTGAACAGCTAACTGCAAATAATAATATCAAATTCATACATTCATCTGTGTTTATCATCTCTAAGTTAGGCAACATTGGACTCTGCTAGATAATTAGGAGACAAACCCCGAGTTTGGCAGTTCCCAAACTGTGGACAGAGGATACCTGGGATGTCACAGCAAATTCACAGGGACTCTGCAGAATGTTTAACATTTGAATTATATATCACTACAGTATCTGTTGGTTATCACATGAAATACTACGGTTAAGTTTTTAGATCAAATCATTTACTAAATAGAACTGCTTAGTACATCTTTTGGCCTAGTGGCGAGTACTGAGCTACTAAGTGCACTTTGAATCAAAAACATTAGAGATTCTCTGCTCTAGAGCAGGGGTCCCAAACCCCCAGGCCGCAGACCGGTACCAGTACCAGTCCATGGCCTGTTAGGAACTGGGCCACACAGCAGAAGGTGAGTGGTGAGCGAGCAAAGCTTTATCTGTATTTGCAGCTGCTCCCCAGTGCTAGCATCACTGCCTCAGCTCCACCTCAGATCATCGGGCATTAGATTCTCATAGGAGCACCGGTGCCTGGTGCCAAAAAGGTTGGGAACAGCTGCTCTAGATCACTGGAGAGAGCTCCCAAAGCAGTAACCCACTTAAAACGAATGACAAACTCATGGTTTATTTCATGGATTTCTTACTACCTGAAAAAGCCAAAGTTTTTGATTAAATATTATTAAACAGACTGTGTTATGGAATGGGCTTGAGCAGTATACTATGTATTTACCACATACCAACAAATAATTTCTTTGCAGACTCAGCATCTTTACATTTAGGAGGAGCACGAGAAGGCAATTCAGCTTCTCGAGAGGGAAGTGAAACATTGTCTGTAGCCTTCACAGGACTGTCATCCTTATCTGCAAATGACACATTGGATCATAGTAGATCAACTAAGCATTTGAAAATTCACTATTAAATTACAGAACTTGAATGTCATAATATCATATATAAAATATACATATGTATATATACACAGTACAAAATAAAAGAAAAAACCCTAAATATCTATTATACACAAAATAAAATGTCAAATAAAAAAAAAATTAGAGTGATATGGTTATCTAAATAAAATAAACTTTATTTGATAAGGCAATTTTTATGTATATCAAAGTTTTTGGAGAATAAACAATGATTAACTTCAGCATACACAGAGACATGTAAAACATTTTACATGTTTCTACACCAAAATTTTTGAAATTAATATATATGATGCTGAAAATCGAATAAAAAATGAGTGTCATTAACAAAAGTAACTTCTCCCATTATTTTTCTGAAATGAAATCACTGGCTGGTTACAAGCTGACACCGTTTTGCACAGCTTTCAATCTCTATTCCAGTTTGAGTTGCTGCATATACACTAGAGTTTGCCACCATGTAATCCGATACAACCAAGGGAATGCTGACCAAGAAAAAGCAGTAGATGCGACCTAAGTTCAGATTATCTATCATCTATCTATCTATCTACCTACCTACTTATCTACCTACCTACCTATCATCAATCAATTCATCTATCATCTATCTATCATCTATTGATCTATTATCTCTCTTTCTCTCTCTTCACTCATCCATCCATCAATCCACCCACTCACCCACCCAGTAGGGGTGTATGTGTGTGTGTATATATATACATATACATACATTCATAATGTAATTCTGTCAGAAAAGCAGGATCTTTACAGTTAGAAAGATCTAATTTGAAAGCTTGGTACCACAACACCTGAGCTGTTAAACCATGTTATAAAAGTTCTCTGAAACCATGTTATATAAGTTCTCTGAAATGTGTTTTATCCATAAAATGAAATAAAAGGTTCTGAGCTCATGAATTTGTTGTGAGGATAACTTTATGAGCAATAACACATATTAATAAGCTGGTTTATACTAAGTTTCTTCCACTCTTTTAGTAAAAAAAAAAAAAAAAAAAAAAAAAAAAAAAAATTCAGAATTTGCCAGAGAATCATTAGCCAGTAGGAGTGTATAGCTCCAGAATGCTATGCCACTATAGATTTCATAGAAGTGACCCTTAGGAAATTCAACAAGCGAATGATTAATTGTGGATGCATTAGGTAGTATCTTTTCAACTTACCATCAAATTATAAAAACTTCCTAGTTGAGTACAAACTCACGTCTCTACCTTTTAAATAAGTTAGCAATTCATATAATAGTTTTTATTTAGCATATTGACTATAACAAGTAAATCGCACTGCTTTACTTTTGGATATACTTAATATGTTTTAAACTTTCACTTTTATTGAACATAATATACTCTAGAGGAAGGATCCCCAAAACCCAGACTACAGACTAGTACCAGTCAGTGGCCTATTAGGAACTGGGCCACAGAGCAGGGAGTGAGCGGTGGGTGAGCAAGCGAAGCTTCGTCTGTATTTGCAGCCGCTCCCCAGTGCTAGCATCACTGCCTCAGCTCCAGCTCAAATCATCAGGCATTAGGTTCTCATAGGCACACCAGTCTCTGGTGCCAAAAAGGTTGGGGACCGCTGCTCTAGAGCATAGTAGCTACTAAGTGTGTATGCTCTGAAGTCTCACAAATCTGGATTCCCTGGGGTAAATTTCTCAACCTCTCTATGACTTAGTTTCTTACTCTGTAAAGTGAGATTAATGAGTATCAAATTTAGAGTTGTTGGAAGGACTAAATGAAATAATTATAAGGCACTTAGCAGAGCACCGTATATTTAGAAAGCACTAAATATATATTGTAAGTTATTATTATACATATTTCTAAAGATATTTTAGAATATTTAAGAATCATGATGTCTTTCTATAGCAATACTTTACACAAATGAATACATTATTTCAAACCATATTTTGATAATCATTGTATAAACACAAAGACTTGATTCATTTTTTTTCTCTTAAAGAGATAGCAATATTTTTTACAGTAATTCCTCATGATTTTCACGAGGAGGATATTATGAAAATATTTTATAAGTTATAATAGCAATAATAATGAAATAATAATAATAATAATACTTTCCAGGTATTAAAAGTCTATGAGTCCTCATAAAAGCCTTTTAAGATACTATTAACTAAACAGATATTGTTAGTACACTGCTACTCCCCCACCATACACATTTTACTCAGTAACAGATGTTTGAGGATCTGAAAATTAAAGATAAAATCATATGACAAAATGGTGAAGTTAAAACGAAAAAAAATTTCCATTTAGATTCTGGACTTTTCATCCATTGCTCTTTCTATTGTGTGTTATTTGAAATCTCTACCCCATCCCAACCAGTATATTAGAAAAATATTAAAAAATAACACCGGGGTTAGTCAGAAAAATCTTTTAAATTTTGAGAATGTGTGTAAAAATTGTAATATATATGTACTCAGAAGGAACAGTCAGAAAGGTGAGAAGAGATCCAGGGCAGTATGGTATGTGGAAGCCTACAGAGTTTGGTGAAAGGGAGGAGAGAGGGAGGAGGAAGTAGGAGGGAGAAAAAATAGCCAACAGCATAAACTACCACTGAGTAGTGAAAGTACAGCAGTATAATGGAAGAAAGCTTCTTCCTCAGCCCTGACATTTCCTTCCTGTTAAAGAGAGCTAAGATACCCTAAAAGCCTAGTTTCCTTTGCCATTTTTCTCTGTCTCCCTGAGAAACTGAGTGATTTATCTGATTGGTAAGTTTGAGAAGACTAAATCAGGCATGCATGGCCTGAATTCACCCTCTTTCCTTTTTGGGAATGAGCCAGTCCACTGAGAGAATATTGTCGCCTGTCCTCCCTGTAGTCATCCTACACGCTCCCTCAACCAAAAGCAGCTAAGACGGAGGCAGAAGCTGAAGGGCAAGAGTAAGCCAGGTCAGTTGATTAAGCAAGGTCCCTGGATAATGGAATTCAGATAAAAGAATGGCCTAGTCGGGAGAGTCTTGCCTCTAAGTTTTGCGACGGGAGAGAGAATGGGTTCCAATGCACATTTGGTATTTGGAAGTTCAGAGTGTTCCTGCTTGATAGTCTTTATTTCTTCTGGAAGTCAGAGAAAAGTTCATCCCCTGAGACTGAGGCAGAACGGGACTGAATAGGTTTTATAGGTGTAGTAAACATTTGAATAAGCAAGTGGAGAATATGAGAAAATTCATTAAAAACACAGAAAAGACCTCCAATTCAGCATTGAAATGTAAGGCTTTGACAATCTACACAGGTGTAAATTTTTCCCGCTCCCCATCCTTTCTCCTCCTGTGAGATTTACTCCACCAACCAACCATCCTCTTATGTCTTGTATTCCACATCTCTCCTTGCTCAGTAGCTTCTCTTCTACTGTTCTTAGCTTCTCCACCATTTATCGCATAGCAACTCCCAGTGGGTCTGACCACTCTCCTTCCCACTTTAATTCATCTCACATCCCAACAATTGCTCCCGTTTTAAATCATTGATACTCAAAAACCACAGAAGGTTTCCACTGTAACAGAATAAAGGGTGTACTGGTGTGGTTCTGTCCCTACACTGCTTGCCTTATGTCTGCCATCACACCCCCATGCTTTTGCTATATCACCTTTGCCCAAATTATCTTGTTCAAGATCATCATTTGTCAAGCTCTACACAAATGTCATCCCAGAACTCCAACATCTGCATTAAACTTTGCATTACTCCCACATTCCCAATACTCCAATTCACTCATGCACAGAGCTCTTAATTCCATTGTTTGTATTAATTTATTTATGTGCCTTTCACTAGATTGTCAACTTTTAGAATTAAGAGATGCTGCCATATTCTACTCTCAATACTAAACATGGCTCCTGGCAATGGCAGGAGTTTAACAAACAAACATCTGTTAACCTTAAGGTCACTTTACTTCTAGATGTCAGCCTTGGATAATGAGAACATATACAATGAGAGTGAGAGAGAAAATTGTCATATGAAACTTACCATTCCTTACAATAATGTCCTGCATATCACGATGAACTGCCATATATAGGTAAGTAGTAAGCATGCAGTTTTCTGCTGTTCCAGTAACTGGAAGTAAAAACCTGGAAGTGAAAACATTGCATTTCAATAAAATAAAAATTTCAGATGCAGTAAATACAATAAAATATTTTTTAAGTATCCTGGATGCCTTTAAGGGTCAAGGCATGAATTATTCATCATTTTTCTTTCTATCTACTTTGTTTTCTTTAACCACCAACTGTATCTATTTTAATAATTTAACAATATTCTTTTAAAGTTTTAACAAAGATAGTAAATTTCACTGTCAGATGTGCTTTAGAACACAGCTTGTAGTTATGTAGGTTCAAAACCAGATTCAGGAAATTTTAGAGCTGAAGGAGCTTAATTTATGAGTTAAGTTATGCACCTGCTTCTATAGCATCTCTGACAAATGGTATCTAGTCTCCGATGACACTAGTAAGGAGACACTACTAGGGTGACACTCATGACTCAGAGATGACCCATTTCATATCTAGAGAGATGTAACTTCAGACATTCTGTTTCAGAGCAACATGGAACAAAATCTACAATCCAATTCCCATTATATTCCTTTAAATATTTAAATGCAGTATATCTTCTGTAAGGTTTCTCTTCTCCGGATTCCCAACATTTAGAAAGATCAAGGGTCCTTTCAGCTGCAAGGTCTCCAAATATTTCACATACCATCTAATTTTTTTAGATGACCTTTTGTTTTGTGTTTGTCCTCCTTTAAATGTGTCCAAGAACTAAAAGCAATACTGCAAAAGTTATTCAACCAGTAGAGAGTGTTATTCCTTTCTACAACCTACATACTCTATTTAATGAAAGCGTTGTGAAATTGTCTTATTTTTACCAACCACAAAACACTCTTAGATTATATTGGGCCTGTCTAACTTATGTGACAACTCTATTCTTGTACAACAGATTTTAATAGAAGTATTATATTTAGTATCTATACCACTTTCATATTGCCTTATTGGTTTCAGTTCTGTATTGCAGTAGTATATCAAGATAATTTTAGTTTTGAATCTGCCATGTACATACACACACATACACACATACCACATACTATATACCTTTATCCACATCCAAACAGCCATTATTGCCTTAGTCCTATTTGGTCATTCTCCACACTAGTAGAAATGAAGCTACTACATGCTATGGAAGGCAAAACCAACAAAAAATCTAAATTAGAAAAAAAAAAAGTCAAGTAAGAATGTTTATGTCTACAGCAGAGAATAACCAATAAAATAAAATTATATTTTTACAAACCATAACTTTGGTATTGAATGGTATAGTGACCACATATAATTCATTAAATGAAGTATAAAAAGTCTCAGCATTCATCTCTATGGTCATTAGCTGATGAGTAATTAATACTCTAAATATACATCTCTAATTATTTCCCCAACAATAGTGAAGACTGAGACTCTTATGTCTCATCACTTTAGAGATGAAATTTTGAAGTTTCATAATAAAATCTATGTGATAAACAGCCTGGTAATTACTGTATATTATCACTCTCCAACAGTATATGAAGTACAGTGATGGTCTGTCAACAATATATCAAATACCGTGAGAAATATATTATTTATATCTTTCTCATCTTAACTAAGGTTCTCCTCCTATCTTTACTATTTATATTCAGATCTTACATTCTAAAAGCAGCCCTATTAAACATAGTTTCAATTTACAGAGTTGATCAGAGCAAGAAGGGGCAGTGCTGCAGGGTGTAGTTTTTGGAAGCTTGTCTCTTTAGTTTTGTTTTGTTTTGTTTTTTCTTTAGTCTTAATATGCTTATCTGTCCAAACCTTTCTTTGCAAGGTAGCTAGAAAATTATAAAATTACATGTTGCAAAAACTGGCAGTAGCTATGAAGGATTAAAGAAGAGTTTACAGCTAATACTACTTTCAATTAATAATCTAGATTTCTATTTATAGGACTGAATAAAGTGAGAAATAGGAGAAGAAAATATCTGGGTCAGCTCATTGAAAATGTTTTTCATGTAAAACCCACTACTACCACCAACACCATCAAAAACAAGTGCTTCTTGCTATATACTGGTATTTAAATAAAGATTTACAAATAATAGAATGATTTTGGATGACTCTATTTGCTTCAGGAGAATTACACAAAATATTCCTGAACAACCTTTTCAAAGTGGCTTATCCACGCCTATTCACAATGTTTCTCAATTCAATAATCGCTAGTAAAATAATTCACATGTAACTTTACACGCAAAAAGGGTGAACTGGTATGTTTATTTAAATACTGAATGCTTACTACAGCTAGTACTTTTATCTTAGGTCAAGTGATGGGACTTAATCTGGTGCCGTAATGTATATTTATAAAAATCGAGATCATCCACAATGTGGCTAGACAAGAATCTCTCTACCACCAGTAAGGACATCAAATGTCATTTTGTTAATCAGTAATAAAGTTAAATAATTTTGATTGATTTATTTTTAATAGATCAAAACTGTCTGAAAAGATTCCTGATGATAATGTGATTCTCACTTATTTGATTTTCAATATTCTTTCTCGACTGGAGGGAAAAGGAGTAAAGTTATAGCTTGTTCTAGGTACTGCAGTAACCCACAATATATGTTACCTGCAGCCCATCAAGACACTATTATTTATAAACATTAATAATTCTAGCAAATGCGTGCCATTAACCAACTTAATGACCTTAAAAAAGATTTTAGGTTGATCTAAATGTGCATATATCCATGGAAGTATGTTTCACATATGAATGTATTTCATCAATTTGTACTACAGCACAAATTGATGAAATAGGTAAGGGCAGAGAATTCTTCTTTAGACACGAGAGAGCCATAGATATTCATCAAGCATAGAAATATATGTCCACTTAGCAATATTTAAAATATTTATCAATCCTTTTTACAAGAATGATCTCATTTTTAGTCTGCCCAGCAATTTGGAAATAATCCTATAATTAATATAAGCCATTTTTTAAATCTCAAAATCTCTCTTTAGGGGCTATTTTTACAATTTTAAATCATTAACATTGATTAATACATATCAATATATTTTATTTTTAATTCAGTGTTCCTATGGGAAAATATTACAGTTGCTAACAAAGTTTAAAACTAAGTTTCCAGAAAGAATTGCGGCAGCCAAATGAATGGATATGCAACTTCTAGGAGCGTGAGGACCAGCAATCAGGCAAGTGCTTTTAACCACTCAGGGAGAGACAATGGGCAGGACACTGGAACTTCCTCTAAAATGAAAAATCTCTAAGCAGGGCAGAGGCTCTCCAACCAACCATCACTGACTTAAAGAGATTGAGGGTAAAGAGAAGAAATAGGAGGAAAAGAGAGAAACCACATCATCTATGTTTACCTTTTCTTTCTGTGACCTGGTGTTAAATGTACTATGACTTTAATAACCTGAGAAGACATGATAAATATTACTTTGGAAATTTCTGAGTTTTGCAATTTTTATACAAATTTTAAACACCATCATTTTGCTACAAGTGAATGCTGAACAAATCATAATTATGAATATTTTTCTGTTTATAGTTTATTATAATACATTGGCATTCTGTTTTGGTTAAATATAAATAAACATTCTACTTTATAATTGAGACTGTGGTATAATCCTGTGATTTGGTTTAACAGGTATACTATGAAAATAATGTTCTTCATAGAATGAAGGCACCATTCATTACAAACAGCCTTCCATGAGGCTAGGTGAAGGAAAAAGGAACAGATGATTATATCAGAAAAAAGCATGGCCCCTTATGAATTCTACTCACCTCTCACTGCCTATTCTACCTACACATACAACACCAAGAAAGGTGGAAAATTACATGGTATTATGTATAACCCAACCCACAAAATCACGACAGATAATGTTTCCAGGCAATATTCCAACACTGCCTAAAATATGATCTATTAGATGGTTATTGAAATACTCTTGAGATTTTCCATTGCTTGCCTTTCAGTAGCCACAATACTAAAATTCTAGATGGCTCATTGTCAACGGTCAGCAAATCTGTGCTAAGATTGGAGTCTCCAAAAGATGAACAAGTCCTAAATAACTGCTCTTCTTAATCCACAAGGGAAAATTTGAATACCTCAAAAGTTGCTTCTAGCTATGTGGTAATGTCCCTTAGAGGTGCTTGACTCACTTTATAAATTTATTTTAAACATCTAAATATCCCAGAAAAACACATAAAGAGGAGATTTAACTTACACTAGAGTTACTAAGGTTGTATTGCAAACATGAATGCATTAGCACTCCATGTGGTTGGACTCTGGGTCTGATTCATTCTCTGCTAGTCTCCCTTATGCAATGCAGGTTCCCACCCTTTCAAAAACAGGAAAGTGTCTGGAACAGGCATGCTAAAAATAGTTTTCAAAATACTAGAAACAGATCTAAGGTTTCCAGGCGTACCCTACAAAATGCAGAATTATGCAACGAGTAAAACAATTATTAGAATCAGCTTTCATTATTCCTCATTTCCTTTTGATTGTGTTGAATGCTTTAAAAATATTTCAATTTAAGTGATCATCCTATTATTTTAATGAGAGTAAGCATAACGAGTTTTATTATGCATCAAAAATGTTATTGAATCCATAACAAGGTTGATAAAATGCTACAGTATATAGGAAAAGTGATATAATTAAGAGCTGTATATTCTCAGATTTAAACAATAAATCTGCTTGCTTTTCTCTCACTTTAATTTCCACTTGTATATTTTAAATTCACCAATAAAGAGTAACCATGTGAAATCCTAGGCGCTTCACCCTCAACTCCAATAAAGGCAGAACCCCAGGCTCTCTTGCATATTCTTGCTCACTCTCTGTCTATTGGCACCCTCAGTATTTGGCCCCAGGTGGTCCCAGGGTTGCCACTTACCCTCCAGGGCCTATGAGTAATAAACTTTGGGCTTTTTTTTTCCCAAGTTCCCTGATCGTTGTTGCTGAGGTGCATCTTGCAATCATAACAAGAATCACAAGGACCAATGCAGCCACTACATTGGTTCTGAAAGGAGAAATGTCTATGGGGACTCTGCCACAAGCAGTACTGCCCCGGTGAG